TCAGTAATAAGATCATCTCCAACAGAAGAAGAATTATTTAGCCAACAAGAAAATGGTATGTCATTAAATTTTTTATATTCATATATAATAATTAAATTAATTTTAATTATCATAATTAATTAATTTATATTATTTCAGGTATCAAGAGGACATCAAAAGAAAGAGTTTCATGCAGAGAATATTATAGTTACAAGCTTCAAATTCGAGAACATGAAAAATCAGTTATTTTGTATGCTGGTAGATTGCTACATCAGTATGTTGTTGACATGTACGTGAAGATTGAAACAAGTCGCTTAGACTTTTTCAGACAAAATCAACATACAATACGGTCTGATTTGTATCAATGGATTATTGATAGTGTAGCCGCTGGAGAAACACAAATTAATAATACTGGTAAAAGAATTATACTTCCACCTTCGTTCATTGGCGGACCTCGTGATATGCGGCGAAGATATTTAGATGCAATGGCTCTTTGTCAACGATTTGGAAAACCAGACTTATTCATAACAATGACATGCAATCCTGATTGGCAAGAAATTCATAATGAGTTAAAGCCAGGTCAAACGGCACAAGATAGACACGACCTAACAACACGTATTTTCAGGGCTAAATTACAAGATTTAAAGGATCAATTATTCAAGAAATCAATTTTTGGAACTGTAGCTGCCCGTGTATATGTTATTGAATTTCAAAAAAGAGGACTTCCACATGCTCATTTTCTGATTATCTTGGATGCTGCTTTTAAGATAATATCTCCAATACAGTTTGATAGAATTATTTCAGTAGAATTACCATATCCTTCAAAATATAAGAGTCTACATGAATATGTTGTAAAACATATGATGCATAGCCCCTGTGGAATTTTAAATAAAAACAATGCTTGCATGAGAAATGGATTATGTAAGAATAAATACCCTAGATCTTTCTCAAAATAAACAATAATTGGTGATGACTCATATCCAATTTATCGAAGAAGGAAAGATTTGCATCAAGTAAAAGAAAGAAATTATTTCTCAGATAATCGTTGGGTTGTTCCTTATAATCCATATCTATTACCTAGATATAATTGTCACATAAATGTTGAGATATGTTTCAGTATCAAAGCAGTAAAGTATATTTATAAGTATATTTATAAGGGACATGATAAAATTTTGGTGGCTTTTTCACAAAAAATGGAGAAAAAGATTTTGATGAAATTCAACAATATCAAGATGGCAGATGGGTATCAGCACCAGAAGCACTATGGAGAATATTTGAATTTGATTTAAATGAGATGTATCAATCAGTGTGTAATTTACAACTGCATTTAGAAGACCATCAATCAGTTTATTATAAAGACAATCAAAATCTGCTTGATATATTACGAACTGACATTGGAAAAAAAACCATGCTAACTGAGTTTTTTAATCTCAATACAATTGATTCTGAGGCAAAGAGTATTTGTATAGAGAAATTCCTGAAAAATATGTGTGGGATAAAAAAATATGGAAGAGGAGGAAAACATATGAGCAAATTGGCCGTATAAATACAACAAATCCATCAGATGGTGAAAGATATTATCTCAGAATTTTGTTAAATCATGTATATGGACCAACTTCATTTACTGATTTATTACGATTTTATGGAATTCAATGCTCAACTTTTAAAGAAGCTGCAAAAATGCATGGTTTACTGAAAACAGATACTTATATATCAGATTTTCTTAAATGATGCATCAAATTATCAAATGTCAAATGCACTCAAACAATTATTTGCTATTCTTCTTATCTACTGTGAGCCAACAAATGTTCTTCAATTATGGAATGAGTACTACATGGATCTGTCTCATGATTATCAAACCATTAAGGATATTTCTTATGATGATTGTGTCTCAAAAATATTATTGGATATTAACTTATTTCTTGAGAGAATGGGAAGGTCCATTGATGATTTTGACTTGCCTGAATTGCCACATGTCCAAGAGATCTTTCATGATTTAAATGATGAGCTCAATAATAGAGAAATATCTGAAGAGCTAAATGTCATTACTCCAGCTGAAGATATAAATATAATACATACACTCAATTCAAGTCAGAAGAACGCATTTGAAGAAATTATCAATCGTGTTAATCAAAAACATCATGGAATGTTCTTCATAGATGGTCCTGGAGGTACAGGTAAAACATATCTGTATCGTGCAATTCTTTCAACTTTAAGAAATGAAGGTCATATAACAATCACAACAGCTACATCAGGAGTAGCTGCATCAATATTGCCTGGAGGTCGAACAACACATTCAAGATTCAAAATACCTATAAATTCAACAGAAATTACATTATGTGCAATTACCAAACAAAGTGGACTTGCTCAATTACTTAAAAAAACAAGTATTATACTCTGGGATGAAGCTCCAATGGTAAAACGAACAGCAATTGAAACTTTAGATAGAACTATGAAAGATATTATGAATAGTTCTATTTCTTTTGGCGGTAAAGTTATTGTTTTTAGAGGTGACTTCTGACAAGTATTACCAGTTGTAAGACGTGCATCACGATCAGAAACTATTAGCTACAGCATGGTTAAGTCATACTTATGGCAAGATATGGAAGTTTACAAGTTAAAAGAAAATATGCGGGCTAGAACAGATAATTTGTTCAGTGAATTTATTCTTAGAATTGACAATAGAGATGAAGAAGAAATCGAAGATGGATTGGTGCATATTCCAAATGAAATGATGATAGAATATTCAAATAATGAAGCTTCAGAACATTCATTAATATGTACTATATTTCCTTCTCTGTGCGAAAATTTTTCATCATCGGAATACATTATGGAAAGGTCAATTTTTGCAACTAAAAATGAATATGTTGATAAGCTAAATCAAAAGCTTATTAATATTTTTCCAGGGGATGAGTTTACTTATTTTAGCTTTGACAGTGTCACTGATGATAGTTATAATCTTTATCAAGTTGAATTTCTAAATTCTTTGACACCAAATGGACTTTCTCCTCATCGACTTACTCTCAAGATAAATTGTCCAATAATGTTACTAAGAAATCTAGACCCTTCAAATGGTCTGTGCAACGGAACACGAATGATTTGCAGATCATTTAAAAATAATGTGATTATTGCGCAAATTTCAATGGGGCAATTCTTAGGCAGAACAGTTATGATACCTCGAATTCCATTCAAGGAAAGATTCAGAAGCTTACTTTAATGGATAAAGAGGTAATTAAATTTTAATATATTTTTTTTATCTCCAAATAATTTATATTTAACATAATTTTGTTTTTTTTTTATTTTTCAGGGTTCAAAAATATATGCCATCATGTTCAATTAAATAATTGACAAATTTTATAACATGCTACAGATTGGAAAGACTTATATATTTTCAAATGGGCAAATCAAAGCTATAAATAAAGATTTCTATAATGTCAATGAAAATTTTGAGATAATTTTAAACAGCATATCAGAAATACAAGTTGCAATCACCGATGATATAGAACCAGTCACAAATAATTTATCAGTAATTGAAGATATCAAGTCAAATCCAAATTCTCCGTCAGGTAATTAAATTTATATTTATTCTGTTTAACATAATATTTTTAAATAAATAATTATTTTTTCTTTCAGATATCATTTTATTATTTCTGAACGTTTCTGAAGTGCGAGTGATCTACAGACAAACTGATAAAATAAAAATTCTCAAACGAGATTTACAAGTTCTTGACTTAAGGTATGTAATGTATATTTTTTATATTTTTTAATAAAGATTTTAATTTTTCTAATATTATTTTTTTTAATAGGTCAGAAGTTTGTACTTTTACTTTATGGGAAGGATTGGCAACAGTTGAAGGGAAACAATTGGAAGAATCAAGAAATGAAAAAACAATCATTCTAGCAAAAGGCATCATTGGCAAATATTTTAATGGTACATCCACATGTTTCATACTTTAACAACGCAAATATATATATCTTATATATTTCTGATTTTAATCATATTTTATAATATATCAGGTTTCATACTCTCAACAACGTAATCTACAACTTTAGAAATTAATCCAAATCTGCCATCATCAAAAGAACTCTTGGATTTGTATAAAATTTTTAATGCTTTACTTAATCTTTTTTATTTTAATTATCCTTATTTTTACTTATGAAATATTTCAATTTACAGGTCTAATAAAAATATTCATCAACATACAACATCTGATTTTGATACATATTTGATGACAAATCTACAAAATATCAACACATCTGAACAATCATTGGGAGAGGTAATAATTTTTTTCAATTATTATTCTAATTTCTTTTTAATAAATTAATTTTTGTACATTTCAGGTAAAGTACTACTCTACAAGAGTAGTAATAAAAGGACTTAATCAAGAAGGAAATCTATAGTACAATTCATGCAATACATGTAAATCAAAAAATTTTATTATTGATGGTATTGCAAAATGTTCAAAAGAAAATCCTGAATATAGTTTGAGGTAAAACATTTATATAATATTATCCTATTTGAAATAAAAAATTTAAACTTCATAACATATTCCAAAAATATTATTTTCACAGGTATCTTATCAAATTACGTGTTGAGGATATCAGTTCAACTATAATATTTACAGTTTTTGATAATGAAGTTGAACAACTTATTGGCGTGCCAGTTACAAATTTAGAGAAAATAAAGGTAAATAATTTTTTTATGTCATTCTATTTATATTATAACTTATACATGCATACTCTAATATATATATTTTTTCTTTTTAATATAGGCATCCAATATTGAAGATTATAATAACATTATCACAAATATTTGTGATAAGGAGCTAATATTCTCAGTAAAGGTTCAAGATAAAGAATATGGAAATCGAAGCTTTCGTTCAATTACAGTTCAATCAGTAAAAGAAATATCTGATGAAGTTATTGAGATCGAACCTAAAAGAATCAAATTAGAAGAGCCTTAAACTTTCATCATTATTCCTCTTTAACTTACATATTTTACTCTTGATACTCTAGATATTTATTTCTTATTTCTTCGTCTCTCTCTCTCTCTCTCACTATCTCTCTTTTTAGTTTTCTTTATTGCAACTTATAGCAACTTTAAGAGTTGATGACATTCGTTAGATTTGAATATTATGTTGCATATCTATTTCTAATAATTAACTTTTTATTGAACTTGCCACATGTTTTAAGTCCTACTAAACAAATTCTCACTTTGTCTGCTTATGATTAACTCAATTATAAAAATTAAATTACAAATACATAACAATATACTTATCTTAAACATAATATGATTGTTGTATGCAATTATATGATTACAATAATGTATTTTCCTTCATGGTAGCTGCTTATTCATTATCTCTTCTCTTTTTGTTAGGAAATTAAAATGTCTTCTACATTTAAGTCAAAAGGTCTTTCAACTGATCATGTATTACTTACTAATGATAATTTTGCTGCAAATTCCTTATAAGTTTATTTTTTTATGAACTTGCGATTTGTAAAATTTTTATTTTTGTAAATTATGTTTGAGATTTTCATGTCATATTTATTTTGTTGTAGGAAAAATGATAAACTTTCTGAAGCATGCCTCATTTATACTTCTTATATTTCAATTTATTCGTTAATAAGTTAACAATTTTAACTTTCCTCTAAGTTGATTCTTCTTATGTCATTAATTTTTTCTGCTTTCTAAGAACAATTCAATTTTTTAATGTAAAAGTACAATTATAATTTTTTTTTTAAAACCGCCATTGCCGGTCCCAAGCCCGGATGAAAAAGGTTGAGGATTTTTTTTACTTCAATGAATTGTGCCCCCACATGAAAAAAATCCTGGCTCCGCCCCTGATGTCTACTATATTTTATCAATATCTTCCATAATCATAGAGAAAGACATCATTTATAAAAGAAAAAAAATTAATAGTGAAATTATTTCAACTAGGTCAGACGTTGTGGTTTTTCTCTTTTATATAGGCTTTCCATATATGATCTCAGGTGTCTCTTGTAACTTCTCTCTTATTTGCATATGTGTTGGATCACCATGTAATGCTAAAATATTAAACTCTCTTACTCTATCGTCTTGAATATTCTAACATGCAATAGTTTAATGTTATCTACCAAAAATGACTATCTATTAGGGGGCAAACTTGCTACAATCTTAGAAGCTTAGTTGCGCTAATGTCTCATGCATGATTGTAATTGGGCAATTTCATTACTAATGATTTTATCAATCCAGAATGAATTAAATTAAGATTGGAGGCAACTTAAATTACAACATCGAATAGACAATGTCATGCACATTATATATATATATATATATATATATATATAT